GTGACCAAGGATAATTGGAGGTCGTTGAAAATTATGGCAACAATTAATAGATATCTGCTCAAGTAGTTCACATTTCTACGATAGATCAATTAGAGAAATCACATGGGGCTATCAAAAAATTTCTGTGGCCGTCGTGGAATCGGCCTAAGAAGATTTGGTGCCGCTGGCGATACTGTGACAGGTCCCAACATGCTTCTGTCCACACACGAAGGTGCGTAAGGAGTATTAGGGGCAGCTGGTGTTCGACCCATACCGCTGGGCTCAGGGCGCACATCACCTGGTTCCAGAAATTGGCGCCAGTAATCCTTAAATGTAAGAATTAAATGGCTTCTCATTATGTATCAATTCTAAACAAAGTGATTTAGGGCAACAGGGTTTATTAAATAAAAGGGCTACGCAAATCAAAGTTTTGATGCATCAACGCGTACTATGGCTTAAATAAATTAAATCATTGAAAAATACATGAGTGAAGCGACATATGTAAATTAACTGCATGCTTGCTACTGCTCCCCTACGCGCCCAAAACTTTATAGCCATGCCTCCGATTCAAAGCAAAAAAACGCAAGCACTTATTTCCTATTGTAGCGTAAGGGACAAAGTCAGCGGTATATCCATGAGAGGACCAATAACACCACAACAATTACAATAAAAATGGGTAACATTCACAAAGATGAAGCATGTGCATAGGCCACATATTAAAATTAATGTAAGTTTTTAAAGTGAGTCAGACTCGCTATATAACTGCACATCACTCCAAAAAATAAACTCATACAACCATTTGTCAAACGCCAAGAAACAAGCCTCAACGAAAGTACAAATATTTTTGGCATGTGACACTAATAACTGTCAATATAACAGATGAACTGATTGCATAATCTCTACGAATTGAGGGCTAATAGATAGCCTAAAGTCCTTAGCAAACATTTTATTACATCAAAAAGCACTCTGAACTGTTGCCCTTGCACGAGTATGAGAAGAAAGAAGTACTTGACATACCGCTGACATCTTTAACATTTGCAACACGGAACGCTCTTTTTCTCTGGCAAGGTCGGCAGCCAACTGGATGTCGCGTTCACGAGCTGGTTGCCCCATGATTGCCACAGCCATGCAACGAGCAATATTCTCGAAAGTCATTTTGTTTAGTTCCTTTAATGCCTCGATCTGCAAAGATTAGCTATAAAATTGTTTGAGACTGTTAAGAAGTAAAAGGATCAAACTACCCACTTTTTGCAAATGTAGCATAAGGTAGGACAAAGTATCTCTGTTCGGTTGTGGTAGATCACAAATTGCTACATTCAACGCAAGGATATTATCCGTTTGAGCAGCTCGCACAAATTCTTCTCGAGATGATTTTGGGATAAGCGGATCC